TGGAAGCTTGTTGAGAAAATGTTTCAAAGCTTTTGGAAAAGATGGTCCAATGAATACATTTCTAATTTGCAACGACGTTCAAAATGGTTGAAAGTGCAACCTAATTTAAAGGTTAATGATTTAGTTATCATAAAGGAAGACAATTTACCCCCGCTACGATGGAAACCAGGAAGATTTTCCTAGCTCAGATAATATTGTGCGTATCGTGAAGATCAAAACCGCTAACGGAGTTTTCAAAAGGCCAATTCACAAACTTAGTGTTTTGCCTATCAATGATTAAGTTTTTTTTCCTAAAGCATTATAACTTTGTACTTTGCTTTAGCTATATAAGTTCCTGAATTGTATCAAGGCTTCTGTGCATCTGTTTTGAGAACAATTTAGTTTCATTGCATAATTTCATATTATGTTTTCTTGTGAATATTTGATGATACATTTTTGCATAATTTAATATTGTTATGATAATTTCATTTTGTAAAAGCTATTTAGTTTGAAACGATGTTTCAACGCCGGGCGGAATGTTTCAGCCACCAGTGCTCTCTGCCTGTCTGTTAGATATTATTTCGCAATGCGCAGATTGTATGCGTAGTTCGCATTTTGTTCTTGCATTCTTAAAACCGCTAATTGTAACTCTGTCGTTTTACCTTGTGCTGTGTTGTGTTCGAAAGTTCAAACCGCGAATAAAGGTTAAATTTTACAGTCCACTCGCAGTGATGTATTCTTAGGTTTATTAATTTAAAGTTAAGATACCGCTTCGCTACAGAATGAGTGCAAGAAAACACAATGTTGAACATGATTGCCTTCTTCAGCTGCAAATTTAATTGCAGCTCAATTAGTCTTTTATCCTTGAAAATGAAACTGCAGAATTTACCCCCGAACTCAAAATGCAAGATTCATTTTCATCGTTAAATGTAACTTTCTCTGCTATCATAAATTGCAGGATTTTTAGTGGACCCACTAATGATATAGCAAATAAATACACTAAACATTGACAGCCACTCAATCCTCAGCAGCGGAAAGGACTGAGTGATAGGTATTTTTGTAGTTTTCCTTGTATTCAGCATAACTATAACATACACTGCTGGTCATCGAAATTGCTACATGCAACAAATGTCAAATTTGTATGCAAGGTACTACATGCTGAGATATGCAAATAATTAGCTTTCCAGCTCATGCGCACAAAGCAGGTATGAGTAACGCCCTCCCCACTGTGTAAATGTGCGAAGACTGCAAACGGTTTCTTATATGGGAATCGCATTTGAAAGTTGGTTGTTTGTCTAAAGGTCGTGTTATGCCCCATGTAAGAAAGAGAAACTCCTACGAGCATGTGTCGGAATTCGACCGTAGAAGGATCGTGACATATCGGGTCTGCCGTTTATCAGTACGCGATATTGCTGCTAATGTTGGTCGGAATTCCATCATTGTCTGGCGAATAGGGAATTGATGGATCCAGGAGAGCCATACGGGATCACCAGAATGGACCTCAGTAGCCCCAAGCTACTAACACCCGAAAGGACAGTATAGTTATCCTCTCGGTCAAGCGGGATTGTACAACAACGTCAAGTATTCTGAGACGGGAACTTGTGTCTCTGAAGGATAACCAGTGTTCTCACAAACAGGTACAGGTAAAAGCTAGGCCAGCACTCTGTAATACCATAGGTGATTTACGTATTGCTAGCTAACTGTTAAACTTCCAGTTTGGAATTCCAAGAGGGAACACCCTGGGGGCATTCCGAAGGTCTACTCCCTTCCTTCCCTGTCACCAACCTCTCGAGACGATTCCTGTCGCAATGCATTTTAAGTGCCCCTTGAACATTATGCGCTTACATATATCTATGCCTTTCCCGGGATACGGCCTCTTCTGTACGGCAGTCAGCGTCACTACCTATCATCTTGTCTGAGCGGCTGTACGACGATGTCTGTAACACCACGGACAGTGCGACGACGTCCGCATCACCACGCACTGTCAGTACTTGACCATTGTTGCAGTTTCACTTGACGCTGCAGTAGAGATACACTCACCTACACTGGAGCAATAAACGATGACACTGGATACAGGAGTGGCACCACCATGCTTCTTCAGAAGAATCCCTGTTCTGAGTAAGGCGTCAAGACGGAGGTACTTAGGGAAACGAACGTTCCTAGCCTGCATTCCTCATGTCATACGAGCCCAACACCTAACATCACCAATCGCCATATGTCCACATAGCTGGCATGTGGATAGTTGCCTTACATTTCTGGAGGTGTTAAAACTCGTGGCTATGCCCTATCTTTGAGGCCTGTCTGAAGCTATTTTCAATGAGATAATGCATACCCGCATACTGTCCGTGCTCTCCTAACTTTCCTTGATACAGAGGATACTCTACTGTTGCACTAACCATCCCATTTTCCAGATCTGTCACCCATTGAAAACATCTGGTCATGTGTTTCCGAAAGAATGGCACGCCACCCCTGCAATCGGTGAACTTTGGCATAGATTTGAAACCGCTTGGTAATGAAGTACCCCTAACTGTCATACAAGCTCAGTTCGGCTTGAAGCCAATCCGCAATACTGGCGTTGTTGCTCCTAAAGGTGACTGCTCTTAGTACTGAATTCAGCAAACAGAGTATCAAAAACCACAAGCGAGCTTAATCATATAGTCCTCCCATTATACCATATATGTACAATAAATAAGATTCTGCTACATGCTTCCCTTCTTGGCTTACCAATTTTAATGCCCAGTAGTGTAGTTTCTTTTTTTCTTTTAAGAAGTCCTTCTTTCTATAACAAAGTCCTCGAATGTTTTGCCGTAAAACATTTCCCTTTCATATAAAAGTTTTAAGAGGTCTACTAGAGATAAGGCAGCTGAACACTAGCAGTTCGACTCAGCTTCAAATCTCCCCGATCGAGCTGGTTACACAGATATTTTCATGGTTTTCCCCATATGTAATGGAAATAGGAATCTGTTCTCCTTAAATGCCGTCTTCGAAGGCATTCTTTTTCGTAACAAGATAGTCCTAATGTGCTTTGTCGCAGTCAAATAAATCCAATCCAAATTTTCAAGGTTTCCGCATTGTAAATTTTTAAATTACTGTGGAAGAAAATGGAAGATGTGATATAATAACCGATAGTCAAATAACTAACCGAAATACTTGGGAAAACGTGCTGTTAAAATACATTCTAAAACAAAAATATCGACGCACCAAGAACGAGTTGTTCGATGGAGATACAAATTGGTAGATAAGAAGACTATATACAGAACAGAAAATCATTAAAATTTCAGAACAATTGAATGATTTATTTTAGAGTTAACATAGTTACAAAGTAACGAGCTCAGTAAGGTGTTTACCCACCTCAAGCCTGGATGCAAGCTGCCACACGGCGAGGCATAGACTGATGAAGCTCCCGGATGGTCTCCTGCGGTATTTCTTGCATTACCTGATAGATGCAGTCGCCTTCCCATCATATCCGATCGATACATGCTCGATGGGAGAGAGATCTGGTGGTATTGCTGGCCAAGGAACTGCTTGATAAGCTGTAAGACAGTTCATAGGAACACGTGCCGAACGTAGTCTGGCATTATCTTGCAGAAAAATAAGGCCAGGGTGCTGCAAAAGGAACGGTAGCAAAACAGATCTCAGAATGTGTTCAACGTAACACTATGCTGTAAGTGTGCCTCTAATGACCACCAAAGGGGTCCGGCTATCAAGGGAAATGGCACTAAAGACCATAACTCTTGGTTGAGGGCCGGTATGGCGTGCAGTAGTGAAAGCAGGATCGATACGCTGCTCTGGGCGTCTTCGATGATCGTCACGACACAGTTGGAAGCGGGATTCGTCGCTAAAGACTATATGCCCCCAGTCAGCATCATTCCAACCTGATCGAGCCAAGCACCACTGTAATCTGGCTCGACAGTGTGCAGACGTGAGGTGGCGTAACGGTCGGTACGAGTGTAGATTTCGCTTTATCAGCCGCCTGCGAATGGTCATGGTGGACACTCCTGTGCGTGTCTGGTGTTGATGAGCGATGAATCAAGCGCTGTGACAGCTGATCTGACAATCCCTCTATCCTCCCGATCCGTTATGGCCCTAGGTCGACAGCAACCATTATAAATCTGAAATCTCTCGCTGTCCACCCATTCTTTCCAGCATCTTCTAATCGCCGCATCGCATCGACTAATAATGACGAGTGATTCTCCGATTTGCCCAACCTGCCTCTTTCAATCCAATGATGCGACCTCTTTCAAACTCTGACAGTTGCTCGTAATGAGCTCGAATCCAGCAGCGAGGCATTTTTTCGAAAGGTCGTTATCCTAAATCGCAATGCAACAGAAATTTTTAACCTCTAGCTCAAGAATAGTTCCTTATACACATCTGCTCGATGCGCAATTCCGATGCCCTGGAGATCGCACTATTCACTGGACACCAAATCTTAATCATTTGCATATTTCGTCAAAACATTTATGCATACGAAATTTCAAAGCAATCGGATGATTCCTTCTTGGTGTGTCTATTTTTCTTGTTGTAGAGTGTATTTGGCTGTTTTTTGTTTCGTTAATTTTGTGCTGCTGTAAAAATAATTTTTTCTTGGTACCTTTTATTTCAATATTTTCAAAATTTACTCATTTCAAACAGTAACAACATAAATTCGCTTTTAATATGAATAAGGAACGAGAAATTCACAAGTCTTAAAATCCTTGTTCATATCTGATCGTAATCTGCAAGCAGGATCTTAACAAGCAATTAATAAGTTAATTTGTTATTTCTTTACGTTACAGAAAAAAGTTACTTTCTTTTAATGTATGAGTAATATCTAATAACATATTCTCACACCCAATTTCCAATCGCAAAATAAACTGTGGTTTTAATTCCTAGCAAAAAGTGCAGTTTAGTATTTTAATTAATTATTGACTTAAAGAAAAAGATACACAAGTGCCTTGCATACATAAGATCTTTATCAAACTTTTTGTTACAGAACTCAATTGTTTAGGCTCATGAGATAAAACAAAAAGTTTCTTTTCAACCTGTTGAACGATTTGTATATCAGCATATGCTTTTCATCACAAGATCAGATACAATCCTCTTGTTCCTGTCAGAATTCTTATAAAGTTTAGAACAAAAAATTCGGAACTTTAGTACATCGGCTGGTCCAATAAGCAGTTATCTTGAATAAGTTCCTGTAAAAAAGAGACGAAATAACTATAATTCCATTATAACTATAATAACTATTTTTTAACACAGAATGCCTCATTTTAAAAATAAACTCTTCAATTATTAAAATTAAGTTATAATAATAAATTTTCTGAAAAAATGTAGCTTGGTGCAAACGTAACCTTAAGTTTACAAAGCTAAATTTCAAAATATTTATTCTAAATTTAGCAATCTTGCTCATGATTTAATCACTGACTTCAAAAATTTGTTACTTTTATGTGAATTGCAGACCTTTTCTTTGTACTATTAAACATTGATTTCCGAAATGAAAACATAATTGTGAAAAAAAGATATCCTTGTTCAGAAGAAATAATTTATTATGCCATTATCAAAATGTATTACAATTCCTTTCCGAAGTACAAAAATTTTAATTCTTATACCTAATCTTGAGTTTTCAATTTTAGTATCTAGTAAAAAGTTTTTCTTTCTTATACTCATGCTGATTCCTTGTCAGAATACAGAAACAGTAATGAGGATATCACAAAATTATAGACACGTAAGCGGTAGGAATTAAAGCAACGGTATTAATAGTAATATTCTGTTTAAATGTTATCCTTTTTAAATTTATATGGAAGCAATTCCAATACGCAGTTTTTTGGAAGATATAAGATGTCAAAATTTGTTAAAAGTTTTAGTTCGCAATGAGTATGGGAATAAAATTCTTAGATGGATTTTCGATGTGACGACAAAAACTAACAAATTAAACTTTTCAATAGAAATATGACAGATTAATGTAAAAATGGTATAATTTTAAAACTGTTAAGGTTAGATCTACTCCTTATATTGATAGAAAAGCAAGTAGAGGAATTTTAGAAAGATTTCCGGTTGCCTTGGAGTACGTTTCAATGCTTCCCAGATTAAAGCCCACAAAACAAAAAATCACAGTCATGATTACCCACACGACTAAAGCACATCGATAACAACTACTATATGGAAAAAAGCTCACATGATTAAAAGTCCCTGCTGATGAAATTTGCCATGGATAAAGCCCATAAGGATTGTATATGCTTCTCGAGAGAAAAATCGTTTTCAGTTTAAACAAAGCAAATACTTTTTTCAATATTTCACCTCATTTCTTGTACTTTAAAACAGAAATAAATTCTTAAAACTATGCAATTTATTCCACACCAGTGTTCAAAATTAATATTAAATTCACATTTGGACAGTTATCTCCCGAATACATGGATAGATTTTTATGAAATTTGGTATCCACATAGGCTAATAAAATCCCAAAAATGCACCTTACAAAGGAGAATAATAGCATTATAACTCCCCCTATTTACCATAAAACTCTCACAGACGGGTTTCAACTGGAAATGAGGCAGTTTAGAAGTTCCTATGACAGGCAGTCTCACTTTCGCAGCAACCCTGATTTTAGGTCTTGGAGGATTCTGAGAGGAAGAATGTAAGTTGCAATAGCCCTCCCAAGAGCAACCAAGACATATTCTATAGAGCTTAGGTCTTGAGATCTGACTGACCGATCCATCGTTTGGTATCCTTCCTTTTTAGAAAATCATCCTACAAAATAATCTTATGAGGTGATCAAGCGTTATCATCGATAACAATACACCGAAGAACAATTGCACCCTGAAAAGGCCAACATAGGGTTCTAAGATATATTCCCTACATCTTGTAGCAATCACAGAGCCTCTATCAAATATATGATGGTCTATATGCCTGCCCAACGTGATGCCTTGCAAGATCATCAGACATCCGCTGCTATATAATCCCTTTTTCGGGTGTTGGAGGCCTTGTTTTCAACAAAGAAGGTACGTCTAAAATGAATCAGGACTCCTCTATAAAGAAAACGTTTTCCCACCATACTTTTGTCAAAGCTGATGTTCCCTGCGCCATGTCGAATTGGCTGTTCATTGCAGAGAAATAAATGGTACTTAAACAGCAGGCCTTCTTATATATAGTGGAGATATTAGAGACCTGTGTTCACCTTTTCCGAGTAGCATTTGGTACTCAGCCCACTTTTATGGAAGGCAAAACTCGTCCACATATGATTAAGCTGGTATACGATTTTCTGGAAAGTGAGGAAATTAACCGGATGAGCTGGCCAACCAAATCGCAAAACAAATGCAAACTCTACGGAACTTAATCTTCGACGCTCTTGGGAAAACTCTTGTGACTCGTTTTCTCCCTCCCAGAACTCTCCAGCACCTAAAATCAGAAATGCCACAGAAGTTTATTCTATTGCCCCAATCAAACTCATAATTGTCTTAATGGAGTCTTCAAACAGAAAAACCTACCTGGCAGGATATTTCGATCCATAGTTCTACTACAAAACAATATTGGGTTTTCTGGGATTCACTCCATATTCGAAACGGTGTATTGAACCGAAAGTTCGAATCGCACGATGGAAAAGCATTCAGATGGCAGCTGACACTTCCAAGATCCCGGGTACCGAACGTCCTTAAAGAACCACATAGCAGCCCGACAGGAGGCGATTTCAGGATAAGGAATATTTTGAATAGAATTCGAAAGCTCTTCTATTGGTGTAATGCGAGGGCTGACATGTAAAAGTGGTCTAATCTTGCAAGGGCCGGGAAGGACAGAAAAAACAGCCGAGGAAAACTGCAACGTTATAATGTAGGAACGCCTTTTTAATGCATAGTCTTCGACATCCTGCGACCTCTGTCACAAACTAAAAAACAGATGGCAAAAAATACATTCACGTTGTTAGTGATTACTTTAACAAAGTAGCTTGAAGCCTATCCTATTTCTGATCACCTAGTAGAGGCTGTCACTTAGTAGAGGTAAGGATTTCCAGGTTTGGAGTGTCTCTTCGGTTACATTCTAATCAGGAAAAGAATTTTATCTCGGCTGTAATTGAAAAACTCTGCAAACTACTCGGCGTAGAGGAAACTCAAACGACACCTTTACATCCGCAGTCAGACTGCGAGACAGAAAGGTTTAATGGATAAACAGAGAGGTTTAATAACCTCTAGCTGATGTTTTCTAGAAACAAACAGGACTGGGGTCAGAAGTTACCTCTGTTCTTACTCGCCTATCGTAGAACCGTCCAAGAGACGACCGGCTAATCAGCATCCCAAATGGTCTTCAGTCGTGGCTTTCGTCTGTTTTGTGATCTCTTGCTTGATCAACTTCCAGATGCACCTTCATTGCCTGAGGAGTACATTCAAGATCTCCAGGCACGGTTTGAAGTGACGCACACTTTTGCACGAAAGCAAGTCAGCATGTTCATAGAGAAGATGTAAACCCGTTACGATACGAGAGCTACAAGGTGTGCATATGAAATCCAGTTAGACGGAACAGAATTTCTCCTGAACTCCTGGGACGGTCCTTACACAGTCTTAAACAGGCTGCGGATTCGTAAGTCAGGATGTTCTAAGCCTAAAGTCGTTCATTACGACAGGCTAGCCTCTTACTTTGGCTATAGCACATAGTCCCCGTAGCGTATATAATGTAAATAGCATACTAAGACCATGGTCCTATGCCATACTAGACCATGGTCCTATATGAATCTGTAAATTTTTGCATTAATTTACTTAATGCTTGATTTGTTGTATATTATTTATTGCAGTTATCATTTTAGTATTGCAGTGATTTTCTTTAGCTGTAAGTACGGCTTCCTGTTCAGGGACTGTACTGATCGGGACGTGCAGTCCTTGGGAAGGGGGCAGTGTTACGAATTTTGTATACTGTAACATGAACGGCGTGCAGGAAGTGAAGCTTTGCCCGAAAAATAAGATTACAGGGGCACGTCTATTTAACTTTTGAGGTAAATGGCTATCTATCTCGCTAAATTGGCGAGATATCGCTAAGCTAGCGATAGTTTTGACGTCTAGTTTTTCTAGCCAAATTTGCTGAGAAATCGCTATAAGTCGCCAAACTTCACGACATTTGTGTCCACGCTCGGTTGAAATTGAATAGCTGTAATTGACCCTTATATGTAATTGTAACCGTATCCGGCTCTTATATGAAGCTTTAACCATACATGCCTTCAGGTAATTTCGAGAAAGAAAAGGTACTACAGGCATCTCGACAGCCTGTAGAAAACTATATAAGACCGGAGAGAGCATCAATTCCCAGTTTTTTTTTTTTTTTTTTTTTTTTTTTTTTTTTAGTTCCAAGTTGACTTTAGAGTAATGAGAGTATCGCGAACTTCGTATTCCGTTGTGCTTAACGCTCGACTTTGGAGCACTGAGAGTATCGCGAACTTCGTGTTTCGTCGTGTTTAACGTTCTTAATAGTTTGAAGGGTGATTAGTGATTGTACTCGATTTTGTTGAGAAGCGCTCTACGATTACTTTTATGGAAAGTCCCATAAAGTATTTGTTTTAGGTATATAAATTTATCAAGTCGTCATTGGTTCTGTGTGCATCCAACACATTACGAACCCGCAAGCAGGCAACAACATATACATCCTAATAATCTCTCTCTCTGTCTCTCTCTCTCTATATATATATACATATATATTTTATATGTGTGGTGTGTGGACATAATATATCTCTAGGCAGCGCATGGTTTGGGTGGCTATGAAAGGAAATTGGCCATATGTTGCAATTTTAGAAGAGTTTTACGATTATGCTATTAATTCTTTAAAGAATTCTATGAAGATCAATAATTTGAAGCTAGATTCATATTGATACCAATTTGTGAGGTAACAAGTAAAGTAGATAGCATTATTTAGATAGGCAGATATATTTGCTTATTTATACGCATATATAGTGAAAACAGCTGAAAGAATTTAAAATAACCCCCTGTATTTGATCGACTGGATCTCGCGCTTCTGCCCAGTCGATCTTTAAGTGGAGAAGAATATAAGGAATTCCGTCCATGTGTTTCGTGGTATAAATTATAGCACGTGCAGCTAACCTTGAAAAATCAGTTTTTAAAATCCAGGCGTGGACAGAGTTGGTCTCTAGCTTTGCTTCCTTTTAAGGAAACCTAATGCCTCTACAGCCTTAATCAATGTATTTAATTGTATTATCGTGTAA